TCTGTGTGGAAGTGAGATGAGAGGTGACTCATGAGGTCAGGGAGAAGTGGGCACGCCTTGCCAGCAACCCACGAGCAAACAGAGCCGTGCCCTTGGCCGAGGACCCTGCAACAGGGTGGAGGACAGCCCAGCAGCACCAGACCAAGGGAGGATGGCCAGGCCTGGGCACATCTCAGAGCCTTTTCTACACAGGCAGGCATGACTGCTTCTGGACCTGCACAAACACAGATGGCGCCCGGGCACCCTCGCTCAGTGCTGGGGCCGCGCTGCATGGGCTGGGGAAGGCAGGAAGGGCCACAGAGTGACAGATCCAACTGTGGACCTGTGAAGCTCAAGAGGTGCACAGAAGCAGGACTCCAGGACCAAGGAGAGAAACCAGGAACTCAAGGTCAAGGGTGAATCAGGAGAAGGGCTGTCAGAGCCTCAGACTGCCTGTGTGTGGGTGGCCAGGGAGGGCCTTGCCCCAAGGCCTGAGGCCCTCACCCAGCTCTGCAGCAGCCAGCTGAAGGCGCCCCACGTGCTTTCTCACGGGCAGAGGCAACAGGAGGCCTGACATGGCTCTGCACCTCCAGGTCCAGCAGGACAGGTCGCCTTGTCACACTGCACGTGTACAAACCAGGGAACCAGTGGGATTTAAAGCAGGCCACACACCACGCCTGTTTCAACAAGACTTGAGCCACCATGGTGCCCACCCCCCTAAAGCGCTGAGTTGTAGGAAACTGACATGGTACCAGCATGGGCTGCTTAGCGTCTTTACTTAGGCCCACGAGGAAACTGAAAGGACCCCTCTCCCTGGGTTCCAGAAGAGCACATGAACATTCCTACCACACTTCCATCTGCCAAAACCCACCCCAGGCGAGTGCTGCGACTAAAAGTCCCATCTGGACAACCTGTCTGGCCGTAGTGAACATTAAGTGGAACCACTGGTGCTCTTCTCCAGCAGCTCCGAAAAGCAGTGGAGCCAAAGCATAGGAGAAGGTCCTGAAAAAGCAGCTTCTCATCATCAAAGGCATGATTCACGCCACCCCCTGCGGCAAGAGGCTTTCTATTTCCCTTCTGCTGATGGGGAGCCTGGAGCAAGGCCCCTCACCTCGCCTGGGTCACTGGGGTTGCTACAGCACAGCCCCAGGCTCACGACGCCCAAGGGCAGAGCCAACAAGCAGGCCTGGACCGGGCCCTGTGTTTCTGGTGCACCTGCTGTACATAAGTGGGCAAGGGCAGCCACTCCACAGGCCCTCCTCCCTGGACAAGAGACGCCTGGTATTTACTTAAACTATACACAGAAAACCAGAAGGCCCCAGTTTCTCCCTCACAGGCTCACTCAGGTGCTAGGCGCTAGGTATGGAGCTGCAGGCCCTGGCGTTCTGTTGCTTGCTTGGTTTTTAAAGTTGTTTGCAACAAAATGTTTTATCGTTTAACAGGAGGTATGCTTCTGCCAGTGATAAAATAAATAAAAGGAACTTCACTATGAAGGGAGAGGCAGTCCTCACAGCTGGTCAACAACATTTACGGCCACTAATTACACCAGCCACGCTTTACACAAGAACCACCCCGTCTTTAGCCATAAAAGCTCCTGCCCCTCCCAGCTGTGACAGGAAACGCACTGAGGAGAAACCAGTGATCAGCAGCAGCCTGCTCTGCAGCCTGAGTGGGAAATGCCAAAAGAGGTCGACTGTCAGGAAGTAGGCAGAGGCACAGCTATTTTGAAGGACAACCACTTTCCATCTTTCCATCTTTCATGCTGCCCCTACCTCGAATTTCCTCAGTGTGCGTGAACCCTAACACTTACCAGGACCAAACAAAAGGGTGTTGCAAAAAGCTAGAGCAAAGGGCCTTCTAGTGAAATGAAACTGCCAAAGCTTGTGCCCTGCCACAAGAGTTAAAACTCATCGCTGCAAGAGTGTGCTTCAAGGGAGGTAAAAAGCAGATCCTAGTTTCGATGGTGCTTGTTCTGAGTTCACCTGTTTCGCCTAACCTACACTAATGAACAGGTGGATGGAAATGAAGCCAAATGCATCAAAGGAAAACAGACGAAATCCTAAAGCACAACACGCCTGCAAGTTGCATCATGCACAGAGGACGCCCAGCCTCTGCCGCTCAGGTCTGACGAGCTCATGGCGAAACCCGCCCCGAGGGAGGGCTCAGGGCCCATGCAGCTTCGCCCCGCCCAGACAGCAGCATTAGGCACAATGCCCCTTCAAGAAACAAGAAGACACATGGCGCTGGAGAGACTAGGCTAGGTTTTCCAAGGGAGTCACGGCTTCGGAAGGCTCTGGAAAGGCACGCCTGACCCGCCACAGTGTCCCACAGCTCCACTCACTCAGCCCCCAGGGTCCTGGGCTCTCGCCAGGCAAAGTGCTAACTCACTGAGGGTGCCTCTCTAGAAAGCTCTGAGGCACCGCAGCCAAGCTGCCTCAACACCCTGCCGGGGTGGGGGCAGGCACAGGGCTTGGCTACTTTAAACCTTTGGGAGGTCTCTCCATTCCTCTGGAGGAAGAGAAAAAGTCCAAATAAAAAGCATTTCTCCTCTCCTGCTGGTTCAGTTCTGCAAAAAAAGGAGTAGTGACCTGCTCCCCCAGCTGGCAGAACAGCATCGGCTTGGCTGTTTCACACACGGGTCTCCCAGTTGGGAGGAAGAAACAGAAAACATGGGAATAATTGGGAGACAAGCAACAAGAGGACCAAAAATGTAAAAGAAACAAAACACCTGTGGGCAAAGCCAGTGCAGAGCTGGACCAAAGGTCCAAGCCAAGAAGATTATCAGGGCCTCGAGGACCTGCTGGTGGCCGCGCCTGCCCGCAGGTCCCTGGGGTGGTCCCAAATGCCCGGAGATGAACGCAGCAGTGGCCCCCAGAAAGACTTCTAGGCCAAGGGGTCTGTGGGTGACCTTGGGAGCCTATCAAGAACACAGGTCTAAGGCAAGACCACAACCACAAAAGGGTTGGGTCGAATGTGCCTACCCCTCCCGATGCAGCGCCCAAACGGGGCAGCTCTAATGCTCTGCCCTGCAGGCCACAGTGGACTGACAGGTGCTGGCTACACTTTGTCAGACCTCCCACTGGTTTGTCCATGACCTAAGACTTCTCACTGTGACTCACAGCAAAACCTGAAGACTCCACGTACACTCAAACTTTCAAATAAACCGTCTCAGCCCTGTCCTCCACCTTCACCAGAATTACCTAAACGTCCCTCCCACAGGATCCATGCAGTGAGGGCCTCGTGGGCCCACGTCTCAACCTGCACTTCCCCCGACTCGGCCCCCTCCCAGGCCAGCCTCTCCCGGCACTGACGGCCATCATAGCAATTAAGCCAGAAATTCCAATAAAAACTTCTGTGGGTTTTACATCTCAGCAGGCAGCACACAGCAGGGTGAGAGCCTCCTGAGGCTGGGTGCCTGTGTGACCTGATACCCATTCCCTCAGCACAACAGGTACACAGCCATGAAAAGGGCCTCAGAAACATGGAAAAGTAAATTACTGTTCAGTTAAAAAAAAAAAAAAACTATTACATCCCCAAGGGAATTGAAAATATAGGCTCCAAACACTTAGAAGTCAGATAAACATCCATAATCGCCAAGGACACCCAATGATGGAATGTCATTTGGCCATAAGAACGATGGACCACCGACACGCACTCCACTGTGCATGAATCTGGAGCACCACATGATGAAAGAAGCCAGTCTCAGGCCACATACTGTGTGAGACCATTTTTATGAGACCTATAGAATAAGTGAATCCAGAGCCCGCAAGCAGGTCAGTGACTGCCAGGGGGTGGGGACGACGGCTAGTGGCTATGGGGTTTCCTTTAGGGGTGATGTGAATATTCTGGAACTGGTGGTTATACAACCTTTTTGTATCACAGAATAATCAATCACCAACACACACTTTACAAGGGTGGTTTATGGTAAGTGAATGACATCTCATGTTTTAAAAAACCACTGTATAACTTACCACTTACAGAACAAAGTGTGAAAAAACATATTACATCAACATTCTACAGAAACTCAGGGAATGCTTTATTTTTCCAGGTTTCTTTCTAAAATGTTTTGAAATAGTCCCATCGTTTGAATGGCAATCCTTCCTGAAGACAAGGGCGGCACAAACGGAGAAACACCAAGAGCACACGTGAGGGAAAGACAGGCCGTCAACTCCCAGTGCCCAGGGCAGGGGCTCCAGGAAGGGCCTTCCTGGGCCCCGTAGGCATCCCGTGCCCACCACCCTGCTGTCACGCCATCAGCCCCACTCCCGCGGCCCTCACAGCCTCCTAAGCCTCGCCAGAACCTGCCAGAGCCGGGAGAGCAGCCTGGACGCCGCCCCGATGACCTCACGCTGAGTCACAGCCAGCAGGGCCCCTGCAGCTTCAGGACGAGGACAGAAACACAGTCTCACTCCAACTGCAACTGAAGAGCAGGGGCGGCGCCTGCCCACGACACCCGAGTACCAGGAACCTCAAGGGGCTGTTCACACCCCCAGGGAAGGGAAGACTGGCCAGAAAGGCCTTCCAGGCTGGCGGCCTCCCCCCTTCTGGGAACCTACACTGACCTCTCCCCCATTGGCACCAAGAAAGGCAACCAACAGAGCAGAGAAGCACAGGGCCAGAAAAGATTGTGGAGCGGGGCACCCCATGTGTGTGGGCCCAGGCTGGGTTTAATGAGTTTTACAAATCCGGTGACCCAAGTGTCCGCACAAAAGCAAATTTCCAACGGCCTGCCTCACTCCATTAGAGCTGGCTCCAGTGCTTACACCCCAAGGCCAGTAAGCCACAGGAGACCCGGAGAGGACACGCCCCTGCACGCCAGTTCCGCGGGCACCACTGCCCCCTGGTGGCAACACGCAGGCCAGCTCAGTCCAAGCTCATGGGCACATAAAGGCCATGGCTGACAAACCCCCACCAGCCCTCAGTTCCCTGTCCAGTGAGGATTACACAGCTCCTACTACACTTCAACCACCTCAGAGCACACGCAGGTGGCCAAGGGTTCCCTCCCCTGGGGCAGTGCTTACCAGGGCCTGTAGCGTCCCATCCATGGCAATGACCCCTTCGATGGTCTGGAAGGAAGAGCGGGACAAGGTACACAGGCTCTTGTCCAGAAAACCCGCCATTTTCTTCTGCTGAACATCGGGCCGCGTGACAAACCTGCACGTGACAAAGCACACAGGTGACGGCTCGGCCAAGGCCCCTAAAGAGACTCCTCGACAGCCCACCACATCCTCCTCCATGCCCAGGACTGAGGAGCTGGTCCTCCTTCCAGGACAGACAGACACCCACCGCTCTCCAACCTAAGAAACAGGGACGCTGCCCTGGGGCCCTCAAGTGGCAATTCCCCACCACGGCCCATCTGAGGCCCCACAGCCCCACCTGCTCCCTCCTGGGCCCCAACTCATCCTGAGGCCCCAGACACCGCAAGGTCACCCTTACCTGTCCCCACCACTGCCCTAGAGCCCCACCAATGCCCACTTCTTGGCCCCACTCTGATCCCCTCACCTCGGGATCCCATGGCCCCACATGTAAGGCCTGGGCAGGCAGTGGGCCTGCATCTGCCCTGCATCTTCCCCCAGGGCAGCCCCACAGTCCCAGTCTACTCAGCTCTACACTCCCAGGAAGCCCAGATGGTACACACTGGCTCTTGCCCCCACCACACCTGGTCTGGGCCCACCACCACCCTCCAGCCCATATCAAAGCCTGTACCCTCTATTCCAGCCAGTCCCCACACGAGTGCCCAGCTCAGACTCTGTGGGCAGAAACACGGGAAGAAGCAGATCGCACGAAGGGAACAGCTGAGTGAGGGGAAGCTGGGGCACCAGTGCAGCCTCCAGGAGAGGCACAGGGACACCCCCTGAAGGGAATATCGGGGAAAGGCCGCACACTCTCCTGCCAACCACTCCCAGAGAATATACTGGGGTGAGGGGCCTGGGCACAAAGCCTGGAAACTCCTGTCTCACGGCGTAGGCCCGCCTCCCCGTTCACACCAGGTGGCAGCTCTCCCATGCAGGCACCACAGTGCCCTCTCAGCATGTCTGCAGGAAGCCCCCAGCCTGCCCAGAAGCCCCACACTGCAGAGCCCAGCTCTTCCCCACAGCCCCACCTGCTCCAAAAGCAGCAGCCCCCATGGGAAAAGACGCTCCATGTGGGTGCTGGGCTTCAGTAAGACTGGCTCTAAGTTAGAAAAAAGGAGACAGAACTCTGACTACCATCCTGCCCCACCCGAATCCAGTGCATGCCAGGAGAGCCAACCACCAAGGATCTTCATCAAACTCTGGGTGCTGGTTACAAAATAAGGTGCGCTACCCAAGAACATGTGTTCCAGCAGATCTGGGAACAGCCAGGAATGTCACTGAAAATCTGCACCTCAAGGTGATTATCTGAAATGGGTAACTGGTGTATACACCCCATCTCAATTCTCTTGGCCCTGTTTAAAACACCCACAGCAACCCGATGCTCAGCCTGACCTCTGACCTCAGGCCACAGGCTGCAGACAACAGCTGCCGGCACTCAGGAAGCACTGTGTGTACGCACAGCGCTCACGGCAGGGCTGCCCCGCAGGACAGGGGAGGGCACAAAGCAGCCCACAGAGCTAGGAGATGGCAGGGCTGGGACTGAAAGCCCGACCCAGAGACAGGGTCACAGTGCCAGGTACTCTTGGCCAAAAACCCGGCTTCTACCCATAGGCCTCGTGTCCCACTCCTCTCCCCTCAGGAGAACCCTAAGCTTACAGCTAGTACCGTCACCCCCTCACCTAGCCCTGCCCGCCCTTCTGTGGGTTCCCTGTGCAGGGCCTGGAGGCAAGAAGGCAGGTGCAGGATGTGCTGGCTGACTTCCACTCCTGAGCAGAGCACACGAAGTACTGGAAAAACCTAAGGCTCCTCTGAATGATTTAAGCAAATAGATTTTTGTATTTTTGTATTTTTCTCATTAAAAAAAAAAAAAAGGAATATATGCTCATGGCAGAGGCCTGAAATCACACATAAACAAAAACGGAGAAAATATCCCATAGATAAAGTACACAGATTACAGAAACAGGGCCCCTCTGTGCACCCTGAAAGGTCCCTGGAACCTACGCTTCCTTCTCCTTCACAGGTCACACCACTGGCTGCACCTCCTCGAGCTTCACACTCAGCAGCCACGGCAGGTACTTCACAGCACCAGCCGCCCTCTCAGGAAGGTAAGCATAGAACACGGACGGCAGCAGAGCTCCACTCCCACAGGGCCAGCCAGACCCATCTGAGGGACAGAGGATGGCAAGCTACTTGAGAGCATCAGCCTCAGGAACACCGTAAGGGGGGCACACAGCTGCTCCACACCCTGCGGGGCAAGTGTCACACACCACAGTCTAAGTCGGTGGCGTCCACATGGGCAAGCGCATGCGTGGAGGGGCAAAGCCAATTCTGCAGAAGAACTTGCTGTGGGTGTGTTTTCTAAGAGCATCACAAGTTAATGGAAAACTGGATGCTCACAAAATAGTGCTACAACAACTAGCGACCTGCTGGGGGGAAGACACCTGTCATACACACTCAACTAAAACAAATTACAAGTGGATCAATACTTCTATAGTAAACAAAAAAGCAGAAAAATATAAAAGACTTTGTAAAAATCTCTTAATATGGTAAAACTTTAAGCTTAAAAGCAAAAATAGCTAAATGAATAAAAGGAAAAAATTATTGTTTTGACATTATAAATAAAACCTTTGTCCAAAGAATAAAGTAAAGGCCACCAACCACCTGGGGAAGATGAAACCCACCCTACAGCTGCAGGCCAACACCCCACACACACAGAGGCTCACATGAGGGCAGAAGGAAGCCCCAGGTACCCCACAGAGGAGAAGGCAGGTCACAAAGCCTCAAACAAGTCTGCAGTGTGAAAGCTCACGAGGGTTGAGTGAAATGCAAGCGAAGTATTTGTAATGAATGCAATGCCACGATCCAGCTGGAGCAAGGGACTGCTCCTGAGGCTGCCAATGCCACCAGGGCCCCTGGTGAGATCGGGCGCCCAGGGAAGAAGTCCCGAGCCCTCTCCCAAGAGCCACCTGGTGACGGGGGTGCAGACACAACAGCATCCCCAGGTCCCATGGGGGCCTATCCTAAGGAGATAATCCCAAATGCCAGGATGGATTTATGCCCTAACCAAGTCATCAAATCACTATAAATAAGAGGAAGGAAGGAACAAGATGGCAGCATGAGAGGCGAGGCAGAAACCTCCTCCAAAACCACATGGAACACAAAAATACGGCAAATACAACTACTCCTGAAAGAGTGACAGAAAAGACGACTGCAACAGATGGCCTACATCTGGGGAAATGAGAAGACCTCATGGAAAAGGGTAAAGTAGCAAAGGCACAATCCGGCGGGACCCAGGTCCTTCCCCCACCCCAGCTCACCAGCAGGAGGAAGAGAAATGGAGCGGGGACGGGGTAGAAGCCCAGGACTGCTGAGCACCCGGCCCTGGAGATCTGCTCTGGGAGCACGAACCCACATTACATGGTGCTCTGGACATCAGTGGGGTTGGAAAGCAAAGACAGGCAGAATTCTCAGAGGCCGAGACTCCAGTCACTTGTGGAGATCAGCTGCCCACACCAGCCACTCCGGGACAAAAGGAAGGCGGGCAGTCTGAGAGACTTCCCAACGGTGAGAGGGCTGCCAAAGGGGCAAGGACGGCAGAGTCTGCTGCTCAGGAGAGAGGACGGGCGGCAACACTGTCCTGGCGCACTCTGCCCAGCAGGTTGGGAGCTCTGAGGAGCTTCACACACTCCATCCCCCTGGCTGGCAGCACAGCCCCGAGGCCCCTCCACGATAGGCAGCATGACGCGTCTTCCTCCCCGCCGGCTCTGGTTCGCAAACCTGCCACCCCCACCATCGCGCCAGGCCAGCCAGAGGGCCACCCGCCTACAAGAGCGACAGGGTGTAACGCAGAGGCTGGTTCCTGTGCCCTCGGCTCACCGGCCCTGGCAGTGGACACAGGCACTGCAGCCAGGAAGCAGGAAGAGCTCTTTCCTCCCGGCGGGCATCGGCATTGTGCACCTGTGACACCCGCCATCGCTCCAGGTGCTGGGCAGCTCCAGAGGGCAGAGCTTCTGGGCACTGAAGGGCACCACCTAAACAAAGTTATTATTCCAGAGTAATCATTAGGAATACGAAACAGCAAAAGAACCAGGTATGAACCATAATCCCTCAAACACCAGAAAGAGGACTAAGTGAAAATAAAATCGCCAACCTTGCTGATAAAGATTTCAAAAACAAAAACAAAAAACTTGGCTCACAGAGCTACAGAAAAAATAATCAAGACTTCAGGGAGGACTTCAAGAGATAGATATTTTGAAAAGCACAGTATCTGAAATGAAACATACAATGGAGGGACTTAAAAACAGATCAGACGAGGTAGAAGAGACAGTAAATGAAACAAATTAGAGAAAAGGAATACAAAGAAGCTGAAGCATAGAGAGTAAAAAGGCGTCTCAGAAAGAAAAATACAGAGAACTGTGTAACCAATCCAAACAGAACACTATTCGCATTATAATGATACCAGAAGAAGAAGAGAGATAAAAAGGGATAGAAACTCTCTTTGAGGAAATAATTGCTGAAAACTTCCCAATCTGGAGAAAGAAATAGTCTCTCAGGCCATGGAAGTACACAGATTTCCCAACACAAGGGATTGTGGGAAGACAACACCAAGACATATAATAATTAAAATGGCAAAGATCAAGGACAAGGACAGAATATTAAAAGCACCCAGAGAGAGAAAAAAGATCACATACAAAGAAAAACCCATCAGGCTATCATCAGGCTTCTCAGCAGAAACCTTACAGGCCAGAAGGGAGTAGCATGCCATATTTAATGTAATTAAACAGAAGGGCCTCCAATCAAGAATACTCTACCAGGCAAGACTGTCATTTAAATTTGACGCAGGGATTAAACAATTTCCAGATAAGAAAAATTGAGGGAATTTACCTCCGACAAACCATGTCTACAGTGTATTTTGGAGGGACTGCTATAGATGGATATGCTCCTAAGGCTAATTAGCTGTTACCAGAGAAAATAAAACCACAGTAAAGGAAGTAGACCGATTAATTACTAAGCAAATGCAGAAGTAAATCAACAACCCAAAAAGTCAGTCAACAGATACACAAAGAGTACAGAATATGA